AAACTTGATGCATTATTTTAATTTCATTTATTATTTAATTTGTCTGAAAAATTGTAAAAATAAATAAGTAAATGGATAAAAGAATAGTAAATAAATGGCTTTAAATAAAAAAATATGATTTAAAAAAAAATAATTTTGCTTGTTATAAAAATTTAACGATGAAAACAGAAAAATTTATATCCTTGGCTTACGAATAAAAATAATTTTATATTATTTATTCATTTATTTTTATTGGAAAGTTCTTAGAAGCAGGAGGAAACTCATTAGGAATTACTGAAAGTTCATAAAAACAATAAGAACTTTACAAGATTTATAAGAACATTGATAAATGTTCAGTGTTTAATAGCAAATATAAATTTACTACAGAAATTTTTTTTAAAATTAACCTAATGACTTTCTTCTGCGATGTCATAGAAGCTGCAACCTGTGCAGCGATGTGGAACAGTCATATTTTCTTGACGTCGCTGATCACGTTCAGATATAAATGGATAATCTTTAGCAAGACTTTCCATACCGTGCCATAGTAGCTTGTTAAACCAAGGTCGATGCTACTACCAGTAAAATTCACCCGAGATCCGCAGACAATCGCAGTTGCAATTTCTTCATTTGCCTCTTGTCGCGCTCGTTTTATTCCTCTACCAGGTCGAACTTGTAGACATCCTGTTACTTAAAGCTTCTGGATCATCGATTTCATTGCTTTATTCAACAGCATTATACGCAGTTCTGACCAGTTCTAAACTGACAAAAAGCAATGTATTTACAACGCAATACATTTGTTCTTCAATAAGTCTGATGTCGTGACATCAGACTTACCCATTATGCATATTTAACACAAAGCAAAATACGTGAGATTTTGCAAACACAGTCTGCTCCGAAATGATGAAGCTACTTTCAAATAATGGCAGGTAAATTTCATCTCATGTAGCTATATAAGCCTATGTGTGAGAATCAACAGTATACAGTTATGAAATCACCTACAAAATAAGAAAATAAATTCTCAAACTGTAAATACGAGCCACAAATAGATGCCTTTGGCATGAGCTAAATATATGACATGAGGTGAATTAATAAATATGGAGCAGTGAAAAGTTCTTTAACAGCGATGGACTAGACGTCTGGAGAACCTATTAAGACGATGTTAGGAAAAAATGAATTAATTCACTGAAGACGACAGCAAGGTGATATGTTATGGTATGGATGCATATCGATCGGATGGTATGACAAATTTAGCTTTAGATTAAAATAGATTAAGAATTAATGCTGATCGTTTACAATATCATTATAATTTGTTTTAATTCTTTTAGGGAGTTTAAAATCAAAAACGAAAAATACAGAATTAATTCCAAAAGTCATTTATTTTTTTTTCTAAACAGTTAATATTTTTACTTATACGTTTTGAACATTTACTAATTAGTCTAGAAATCCCTATTGCGTTATTACTTTACCGAACATTCGGTAAAGTAGTTGAATAATAAGAAAATATACAGTATATAGCGCATTGATTTATTGCAAGATAAATTCTTGGATAAAATTACAAATTATAGTATGAACAAAAATGCCATCGAATTATCGAAAAATAACAGATTTAATATACAAACTTGATAAATACTCCCAATAGAACAAATCCAAAATATAACCACCCATAACTACTGTATACTGTAAGGTCTCGTTTTATGCGGTGGATACGTTCTACAGAAAAGCGCATATAAAAAATTCGCATAAAAAAGACTTTACTTGCCTTGAAAAAGTAGGGATACGTTCCGTAATTTTCTAAAATCGCATAAAACCAAAACAACGAGTTAAAATTAACATAAAACCGCATAAAAAAGTTTGCAGAAATTAAAAGAAATAGGCTGTTTAATAAATTACTTCGAATGTCTGAAAGAAATTCATATAAAAGCTTAAAATAAACTTGTATTCAAACTTAATTCAGTTTATTTTATTGAAAAGTAATACAAGGGGAATCACCGAATTGCAAAAGCTCACTCTAAAAACAAATCACTAACATCTGGATGTGAAGAGTGAATTAAATTAGTTCCTCTCCCGAGTTAACTCGGGCAGGTTACATAGCGTTGCATAAAACACGGTCCTTAAGGCAAGTTTTGAATTTTTTTTTTTTTGAATTTTTGGAATGTTTTTTAAGTCTCCAAATTTTTCTTCAAAATTAACGCATTTCTTTCGTTTTTTTCAGTTTTAAGTATTTTTTATGTTTAATTACATTTATATCAAAAATTGCTAGGAACTAAAGCGATTAAGGTAGATCTAGCAACCCTTTACATCCATAAACGTTATATGTCAGTGGAACAAATGTCAGTGAGCTTTGAGCGTTCCACGATTTTTGGAGACTGGGCTTCCTAAACAAGCTTATATGTATGTTTGTCCAAGAAATTTTTGGATGAAATACAAACCGCACAACTTCAAAATCGCATAAAAATAATCCGCATAAATAGAGACCTTACAGTATTTAGAAATACAAAGCTTAGACAAATATGAATTTTAATTTGTAAATAGAATAGAAACTCTTTTCCCATCCGTACGTGGTAATCGTTCGTTTTATCGTGTATAACATCCGAAAATTAAAATGGAACAACACATCCTCATACAATCTAGACTATGCACTTTTCTGTCATCTCTTTGCATTAACTAAAAATATCTTGGCCGAAAAAAATGTGAAATTAATTAGGATATGACATATTCTATTTCAGAGTAGCCACACTTAAAAACAGAAAAATATTCCTCTGGGTCATCCACAATCTGGTTTGAGATGCACTTACGCCAACGGTCCATCTCGACCGTGCATCTCAAAATAGAGAGAGCTTACGTTGAAAAGTTTAGAAAAGTTTACTTTAATTCAGTAAGCGGATCGCGATTTTTAGTTTATTTACAGAATATCCGTAACTTAACCTAACCTAATTTAACCTAACTTTATGTTTGTCCAAACTTCGTATTCTCTAATTTAATTTAGAAATTGAGTTTCCAATATATATTTATATATTATTAATAAAAACTTCACACAACGTATTTAAGTCTATTAAATCTTCATAAAATTCTGCCCATTAAATCATTTTAATTTTCAGAAGTAATAGCGATAATGTCACACGCAAACGCCTTAAAACCTTATCGCCGTTCAATGTACATTCTTATTCCATATTTTGGTCGCAGAACAACATCTGAACTTTCGAACATCTTGTCGCGAGGATCTAATGAATAAACTCTAAAATTTCGAATGACGTTGGCCAGGACAGTCTTTATCTCCATCGTGGCGAATTTTTGACCTACGAAAATCATATTTTAGTAGAAATACGATAATTGCTTTTAGAATGGATTAATTTTTCTCNGGTATTATTTGGTAAAGTAAAAATTTCCACGAGTAATCGAAATGTTTCTCTTGAAAATTTCTCGGAACATTTTACCATTTTAAAGCTTTTAACTGTAAGAAAAAAAAGTCGTGCTTTACTCTCAAGCTAACATCCAAAAACAGAAAAATATCTAACTTTTTTGCAATTTTCGACGTTTCGAAATCTCCCGAGTCCGAAAGAATAAAACTCTTGTAAGTCATTATTGACTAATTGCCATACTTCTCCTCTATTATATATCAGCCGGACGAGTGAAATATATGGTTTTAAGCCCATTCTTTTACGAAAAAGGTTTACAAGAAAACAACTACAATAATACCTTAATTACACATTCCAAGTAATTCATCTTTCTTAAGTCTTCTGTATTTATCATTCTATCTTCCTCCTTAGCGAAAATTTCTTTCAATTCCTCAAACACCTTTTCTTGAATGTCTTGATGCAATCCTAAAAGATATAAAGTCCAGCCGATACCCACGGTTACGGTATGGAATCCCTAATTTGAAAATTAGAAAAGCGTAAAAATAAATAAAAAGATTTATAACTTTTTCGTTCGAAGTGAATATTANTTAATTTAGAAATTGAGTTTCCAATATATATTTATATATTATTAATAAAAACTTCACACAACGTATTTAAGTCTATTAAATCTTCATAAAATTCTGCCCATTAAATCATTTTAATTTTCAGAAGTAATAGCGATAATGTCACACGCAAACGCCTTAAAACCTTATCGCCGTTCAATGTACATTCTTATTCCATATTTTGGTCGCAGAACAACATCTGAACTTTCGAACATCTTGTCGCGAGGATCTAATGAATAAACTCTAAAATTTCGAATGACGTTGGCCAGGACAGTCTTTATCTCCATCGTGGCGAATTTTTGACCTACGAAAATCATATTTTAGTAGAAATACGAAAATTGTTTTTAGAATGGATTAATTTTTCTCAGCTATGAAATCACCTACAAAATAAGAAAATAAATTCTCAAACTGTAAATACGAGCCACAAATAGATGCCTTTGGCATGAGCTAAATATATGACATGAGGTGAATTAATAAATATGAAGCAGTGAAAAGTTCTTTAACAGCGATGGACTAGACGTCTGGAGAACCTATTAAGACGATGTTAGGAAAAAATGAATTAATTCACTGAAGACGACAGCAAGGTGATATGTTATGGTATGGATGCATATCGATCGGATGGTATGACAAATTTAGCTTTAGATTAAAATAGATTAAGAATTAATGCTGATCGTTTACAATATCATTATAATTTGTTTTAATTCTTTTAGGGAGTTTAAAATCAAAAACGAAAAATACAGAATTAATTCCAAAAGTCATTTATTTTTTTTTCTAAACAGTTAATATTTTTACTTATACGTTTTGAACATTTACTAATTAGTCTAGAAATCCCTATTGCGTTATTACTTTACCGAACATTCGGTAAAGTAGTTGAATAATAAGAAAATATACAGTATATAGCACATTGATTTATTGCAAGATAAATTCTTGGATAAAATTACAAATTATAGTATGAACAAAAATGCCATCGAATTATCGAAAAATAACAGATTTAATATATAAACTTGATAAATACTCCTAATAAATCAGGTCCAAAATATAACCACCCATAACTACTGTATATTTATAAATACAAANCTTTCAATTCCTCAAACACCTTTTCTTGAATGTCTTGATGCAATCCTAAAAGATATAAAGTCCAGCCGATACCCACGGTTACGGTATGGAATCCCTAATTTGAAAATTAGAAAAGCGTAAAAATAAATAAAAAGATTTATAACTTTTTCGTTTGAAGTGAATATTATTATTTACAGCAATCATAAATGTGTCGACTTCCTCTTTGACATCTTTTTCAGAGAGAGTTCCATCCGTCAGGTGATGAAACAGAAGCAAATCCAGAAAAGCTCGCTTCTTCTTTATTCCTAAAGTCTTTTCCTCTCCTTGAAAATCATCCATGTGTTGATTTCGTTTGATTAATTCTGTTCTTTCTTTGATTACCTGAAAAATAATTAGAAAATTAAACTTTATCGATTTGATAGAGTGAATCGCAGACTTACCTTTAAGTGGAGTTGATGAACTATTCTTCTATACTTTTTGTTGGTTTCTATCAATGGGTTGAAGTAAGAGAAAGGACGAAACCAAATCCAAGGTTGCATAAGAAAATCAGCAAAATTTGATGTAAAGCTATATTTTAAAACGTAAATAAAAATTGTAAGGAAGTTTTTAGCTGTCTTTCCCCTAATACGATTAAAAAAGCCTTTATTGTTATGCTCATAGAGGGTGGAACCGGTCCCACAGTGAGGTGTGAAGTGCTACAAATCTGTTCAAAATATCCATAAAACTCCATAATCCACAAGTTTTATTGATATATTGCAGCAGTGGGCAAATCTTTCCGAAATAGAAGCTTAAATCGTGTGTCACAAATATGTCAACTTCATTCTATATTGTAGCAGTCTTTTATATATTACTGTGTGAACCGACGGAGTAGAGCGCCGAGCTTGTACCCACTTATCGGCTTCTTTGTCCGGGCTGGTATAAGTGGTAAACGAGTAGGAGTGTGAGCGAGGTCGTGACAAGGTGTCGGCCGTACTCAAGGAAGACACATAATTAACCATAACATATCATATTTAATAAACTATAAAATAATACACAGCGACTACAAAAACGAATAGATACAAAAGATGAAAATAGTCAAAAATTCTAGGCGGCGACAATGATTACTTCGTTTTTATCGATAGCCCGTCTACGTTCTGGACCTTTATCTGTCTCAATCTTCCTCTTTCGGGTCTCTCGTCTCAGTTTTAAGCTAATCTAGCTTAAAACTGAGACGAGAGACCCGAGAGAAAAAGTTTACAAAATAGTTTAAAATAATATATCTTGGTTACCGATCTCTTCATACGGGAGGTTGGCAAAACGTCCCCGATCGGCGGAGTTGACCATCGGCGATTATGGCAAGGTGGCGACGGACAGTTTGTCGGTATGGGTCTGATGATATCTGTCGCGATGTCCGCGTCCAAGCACTGTTTTTATACCCATCTTCGGGAGAGCTGACTAATGGTAGGTACGATGCAACCCGTTTTAAGTTTGATTTGTGTCCGGGTTTTGTTTATGTTAATTTTCAGAAATCGAACATTTCTTTAAATTTATTACCTCTTTCTATCCGTTACGATTACTCATTCTACCTCATAAATTTGATACCAGCTGTCAAACCAAGTGAATTAATTGCTGGAGGTGACTAAGATCAGTTTATCTTGCAACCTTAGTAATAATTGTTCCTTATATGGTCATCTTCATCGGCTTTATTGTTCACAGAATCGGACAAAATAGTAAGTGTATGGGTTTTGTTTTTCCCTTTCTCATTTGATCTTTTGATCCGATTTCTGCGTCTTAAAAATTATATTCTTAAGTTATTCAGTTAATTCTTTCTAATTATTCCATTTCTGTATTTCACTCTTCCCTTCAGAACTCACATTATGTTTAAAGTCCTACTCTATTTATTTATACACTAGTGGAATAGAAACAGTCGGACCCCTAATCTTAAATAATAATGGATTGAAAAATATAAGGAGCCCAAAACAGAATCTATAGGCGGCCATAGAGGTTAAGTTAATCCTTTGAGGCTGCTTGACCTTGAGGAACTTCAGAATTTCCTATCGCCCACACACGAAGAAGAAAATTTCTCAGCAGAGGCGTAGCTATTGTGGGGCAAGTAGGGCACGTGTCCCGGGCACCACTCGCAGAGGGACGCCAAATGGTCTCCAAGACAAACAAGATTTGTTTCTGGAGGGAGAGGGAGAGGGGGCGCCAATATAGTGTCGTGCCCCGGGCGCCAGTTATGTTTGCTACACCATTGTCTCTCAGTAAGTCAGTCAATCTGTCCGCCATGGCATATTAAGACGACATACTGGCTGTTCTTGAATGTTTATTGGCAACAAATTCTATTAAAACTCGCGGGAACAGGTATGCATAGAAGTCTATGATGTAAATAGTATTTGCAGTGGTTTGGGTAGCATTGACCAAAATATTAATTTTTCAAGAGAAATCTTGAACTATAGATTAAAAAGGCTGTTAAAAAGCATCAATTATCAGCAAAAGATCAATGGCAAGTCGATTTTACTACAAAAAAATTCATGAATAGTTTTTGCGGGGATTATATTGTACCCTTTGTACATAGTTGTACAAAGAAGTTTTGTAGGCCCTAATTTTTTACATACGCTAAACAAAAGTAAAGCCGCAAAAACTATACCTAATTAATAATAATACTTCTTAACCCGAGCGAAGCCGCGGGCAAAAGCTAGTATCGAATAAAATTAAAACACAACAATTGTATGAAATAATATAACACCGAAACAAAATTATTTTTGAAATTTTTTATTTTTACATTAATAGATTGAATTAGTTTTATTTTATATAAGCTTTTCCAGTTTTCTTCATTCAGTTTACCAATAATGTATAATCAGTGTTGTACTTCAATAAAAAATTATTTAAATACTAGCTGCAAGGACCCGCTTTGCTGGGTTTTTATTTGTATGTAATATAGTTTTTTTATATATATAAAAGACTGTTTTTCTGAGTAATCTAGAATCTAGCTGCAAGGACCCATTTCGCTAAGCAAAAAGTAACGATAGTGAAGATTAAGATAATTACATTATAGCTAATCTTACCCGTTTTCACAGAATGCGAGAATTAGGTCCCCCGTTTTCAGACTAATTAGAGAATTTTTACGTTTAGTCAAACAAACTATTTTCAACGTTTCTGGAACGTTTACAATCGTTCTGTAATCGAACCAATATTCGAATTTTATGTTCGAATTTATTTCCAACAAATTCGAACAAAACATTCGAAACAGAAAGCCACTTTCAACTACTTTTAGCCTCATATCTCCCGCACCCTTATAGCTATCGAGACGCAACCACCCCTATGCACGAATGGAGACTTGGGGCTACCACCACATACAAAC